ATTTTTCTTTCTTTTTTCTTTTTTCTTTTTCCTTTTTTTTCTTTTTTTTTTTTTTTTTTAAGTAGTCAACTGTACGGAAACGAGAAATAATTGTAACGATAGGAACGATTAACAGGCTTGCTCGCGAAACGTCCGATCTTTGGACTCATGCCGAAAGGTGAACGCGATTGCTCGTGACGTGTTTCGGGTATATCGAACGCATAAATCTTTGGCCTTAACCTTGACTTTTGAACCCGAGATTTTACATTCGAAAGAAAGAAGAAGAATTTGGACAAGGAAGGAGATAGAAGAACACGTTCAATCTTTGTTACGACAGATTTTTCCCTCTTTGGTGTTAATTATCCTCTTATTATTAGATGGGATAGAATTGTATATATATAGAGCTTACGATTGAAATTAGACAAAGGTCTATACAATTACTTAAGCTCCTTAATTAACCTCCTTGTCTCGTTAATCGATCGATACGATACAATTGTCATGCACGATTGACACATAAGCTATTCTCGAGTCGTGTGCAATATATTATGCGTCCACTCGCTACGATCCAAACAAACGGAAGAGGACCTACCACTACGAGCTCAATGCATCCCACGCTCATTCATCCGTTTCTATCTACTCTAGACTACTTTCTCGACCGAACCATCGAACTTTCGCAGAGAATTTTCGTAGAGAATCGACTCCCCTCGACACTTTACACACTGCGTCCCCTTCACGAAGAAGTAGCCACGTAGTCACGTGTGTGGAGATGAAGAAAAACGCGAAGGAACAGGCGAAGAGAAACGTGATTTCTTTTTCCTTTCTTCTTCTTCTTCTTCTTCTTCTTTTCGAACGAATTCACGTTGGTCGATTCGCGAGCGTGTTGGAAATTCTCGTTTCTGTTTTCATCTCGATCAACAGCGACGAATGGACGCTGATCGGTGGAAACTGGGTACGAGACGAGGCCGGTTCGCTCGAGCGTGTGCTACTGGTGCGACGAGTAGCTTTTGGAACGCATCACGACCTCCTCCGCTATAAATAAAACGGTGGCCGCCACACCGAAAACTCTGCCAGCCAGCCGGAGAGTGCTCGAACCGTCGTAATTTTCCTCGTTCAACCGAGGAACACAAGGGGGAGAGGAATACCAGCCGGCCTGTACGGCGATTCCTAGCGAGACCGCGGTATGTGAATCAACCGTGTGGCCTTTGAGCGATACCCATCGACGCGATTCGCCGATGTGTGTATGCTTGGTATTACGGTCGCCGGTGTTTGGACAGCTATGGAAATAGAGGGGAACGGAGAAATTTTCGACCAACGTTTTACGGGGATCAGAAAGATGTTTATACAATGGAAGAATCGAAAATAGTCGAGATAAATTAATATCAGTCTTCTCAGTAATTCTGGTATCTTTGTGTGGGTGTTTTTAATTGTTCATCAGCATCCCCAATGCAATTTTGAATTAATAGAATTAAGAGGGTTAAGAGGGTACTTTTATCGCGATGAAGATACAGTGAAGGTATGCAAAAGCGGAAGTGAGGGCCCAAGAATATCACGGAACTGCATAATTTATATATGTGAAATTTGTTACGGTCATTTTATATGACGTAAATGATTCCACAATGCAGATGTTGAATAGACTTGTCAGAATTGCCCACTTGATTCATCGCGAATTTTCTACCAATGGAATTTAGATCAGAAGAAGATTTGAGGCCAACGCGTAATTGTTGATTCATTACTTCCTTGTAATACCCGTGCGAATAATTTTCTCGAAACATTTTCTATCGAAAATTCGATGTCATCGTTTGCCACGAATGGAATGCCCGTTTCATTTACAACATTTGCAAAGAGGTGTTCCTCTCGAAGAAAGGAAAACGGAAATGAAATTGCAACGCATGACCCTTCTAAGGTTCTGTCAACAATGGTCTATCAACAACTCGCTACGAATGAGATATAAAAGAAGTGTCGGAGTATGAAGGAGTTAGATGTCATAAAGATGAAGAGGCGTGAAGAAGATTGTGATGGAAGATTGGGAAAAGTTGGACGGCGGTTCTTATTGGAAGACCACAGTTCCGATGAGGGACTAACGTCGGATACAAACGAGCATTGTAATCGATAAGTAGGTCTGGGTTGTGTCTAAGGTTGAATAAGGCTGGCGTGCCGCTAAAATTTGTCAAAGCTGAACAAGTAGCCTCACGCCAAGGCAAACAATCCCTGCAACGTCGTTGTTCTTAACGCTAGATCTACTAAAACTGTCAGAATGACGAGTTCCAGATTTTATATTTTTGTAATTATCACGTACAACGGCCGCCTTCGGGAAAATTAACGGCTGACTTTTATCGAGACGTGGGATATCTATTTATTTATTTACTCTCGCGTGTATCCTTGTGCTTTATTCTTCCCAATTTTCGCCTTTCTATTATAAATTCTACTTATTGCCCACTTTACTCTCACCCTCTCTGACAACGAAATTTATAGATCGCTACGTTTCTC